ATGATCACGTAGGAGGCCATGATGGAAGGACTCAGGGGGCTGCAACAAAGACGGAGTGATGGACCCTTGCCCCCTAGCTGTGACGAAGCCTGAGTCCCCATGTCCTCTGGGAGAAGTGCTTCGTGGCTCTAATCCACTTAAGCCTAAAAACCTATGATGGGGGAAGGTGGTGCAAGCCTTGTGCTGGGAATGGCGGGCTCCCTGGGTAATTAGGCCTGAGAAGGAATATGTGAAACCCTGTGAGATCTGCTTTGTTTAAGAATGCTTTTAGTTAGATGATAAGGGCCCAAGCAGAAGAATTTACATTCCCAAAGTTCTGTAGCCTTTTAGCTGACAGGCCCTGATTTAGAAGAAGCCCTAATGGTTCTTTGTATACTATCTACTGTCTACTGCTTGACGACAATTAATAAGCTGTACCTGAACGCCTGTACAAAAATCCCAATAAAAGCCTGACTAGGCAAGGGTCGGGGCCCTCTCTCTCCCCTGGTGAGAAAGTTGCCCGGCCGTTCCAAGCCACTCTCTTCTTGAGAGGGTGGCGAGGCCCTTCTGAGGCTCTCCCCCCTTGAGGGAGTAGCCTCGCTGGCCCTTTTCCTCCACAGGAGGAAAACTCTAGGTAACTAGAGTTATCTAGTCTGTGAATTGGTCTCATGTCTCATCCACGACGCCCCAGGCACTGCTTGTCAGTGCACGCTTCACTCCAGCAACCTTTCCTTTTAACAGGATGGACAGGATCCCTGCTAATTTTCACGGCGAGATGTTGTGGGGACTTCTCTTCCCAGCACTGGTGGTCCAGTCTGGGGAGCCCAATGTGGGTCTGAAACCCCTCCCTCTTCAGGGGGAACTTCCACTGACAAGATATTCCTACTGATTCTTAACCACCACATCTTGGGATGGAAGCGGCCTGTTTTTGCATCCACATCTACCAGTCTCAGTGTGGCTTCTCCTTTATATTCTGAATTACTGTATTTTGCCAAGTATAATGTACACATTTTTTCCCAAATATCTGAGGGAAAAATAAGGATGCACATTATACATGGGTAGTATTAATTCCATATCTATATAAATGTTTTTAATTATTTTATTTATGCTTCTACATTAAAAGTGTAACTCTGGAAAGCAATAATAATTTCCACATACAAAGTAATACCCGGGAATATGAAAACCACTTTTGGTGAACTTACTACGAACTTAACAAAGAAAACAGTTTCAGCCAACGATTCAATGAAATGGAAGCAAGAGTAACAATGTATTGTTACCCACAGAGTCATACAGATAATGCTGATTGTTATCCACTGATAAGACAGATGATGCTGATTGTTATGCACTTGCTATGTTAGATGATGCCAACTTTATTACCATGAGGAGAACAGTGTAACATTTCTCTCTGTACACTTCAGGCGAGAGAAATTATCGGAAAATCCCTTGGAAAATCTCAAAATGGTCTTCACACACTGCAAGTGTACTTTGTACACCTTTAGCTTTAAGTGAAAAGTTTTTAAATATGCTACAAAGCATGGCAACAGAGCTGCTGAGAGACCCTTTGGACCTCCTCCCACAGACAGTGTCATCAAAGTGTGGAGCAACAGGAAGAAAAGCTCCTCCAGATGCCAAGACAGAAGAAGGCAACGTGAGGGACACCTCCACGGTGGTTGGAGGCAGGAGAGGTGAGGACCTGGACTCTGCAGCAGTGTCAGACTGGGATCTCTTCTTTGACCGAGGTGATACAAGAAGAAGGTAAGAGGACTGTACAAGAAAAAAACATCAATGATTTCTCAGGGACACCTAAACGGTGCTTTAACTTTTGAAGAGAGAAGGTTTGAGCATGAGAACATGAATGAAACTTGCCCCAAAACTTCCAGCAGCCTGCGAGAATCAAGTTTTGGAATTTCATTCTTATGTTATCAATCTTCAAAAGACTTACACCCTTGAGCTGTCCCAAACTGCCAGTATGAATGAGGTCCCACTCACATTTGATGTGCCATCCAACAGAGCTGTGGACATCAAAGGAGCAAAGACCATGGCTGTTAAAACTAGTGGTCATGAAAAAACACATTTCACTGCTGTTCAAGTCTGTTGGGCAGGTGGGACAAAGAGATCACCTAAGATCATCTTTAAAAGAAAAGCATTTCCGAAAGATAAGATTAGAAGTGCAGTTACTGTCCATGTGCACAAAAAATGATGGAGGAATGAAGGCAGCATGAAAATCTGGTTTAACAAAGGCTGGTCATGAAGGCCTGGAGGGTTACTTAAAAAGCAGCTTTGCTTGTTTCTGATCACTTCAGAGCCCGTGCTTCACAAAGTGCAAAAGCAATCGCAGCAGACTTGAAAACCCAACCTGCTGTGAAACCTGGTGGGCTAACCAGCCAACTGCAACCTCCTGCTGTGTCAATACACAAGCTGGTTAAGGCCCTAATGAAGAAAGAGTGGATGCCCTGGATGTGCTCAGCTGGTAATGATTTAAGACCTACAGGCAGAATCAAGAAAGCACCCATCACCCAGATTTGTGATTGGATCCTAAGACAGTAGAGTGGTGTCAGGAGGAAGTGGTTGCGAAATCGTCTAAAAAATTGTGGCATCGGTAATGCAATGGACAGAACTGAATACGAAATTTACTGGGATGAGGAAAGTGACTCTTCAGAAGACACTGGAAATGTAGAAATTAAAGAAGATGACACTTCTGATATTGACAGTGACAAAGAATTCTTGACCTTCTATGACAAGTAAATACCATGAATTTGTTACCAGTATATAAAGTTTCTTGTACCTTGTATCTATTCTTCTGTTTTGCAATCATTTGTTACATAAAATTTCTCATACAATATGCTCAAAAATAAATGCTAGAATTCCTTTATAATACGAAAAACAAGTATCTAAATAGAAATAAATAAATAATAAAACAAAAGATTTTTTACTTAAAGTTTGGGCAAAAATCATGGGTACACATTATACAGAGCAAAATATGGTATATGAGTTCTGTTCATTAGTCTTCAGATGGTTCTTCAGGGTGCTGGTTCTATAATTTAGCTGCAATTCTGACGGAGAACGCGAGCATAGCGTTTACCTACACTGCCATCCTGACTGGACCTTCCTTATGTATCTTTAACCTCTTCTTCTCTGACCCTTTTCAACTCAGAAACACATAAATCTTACTTATTTCTATTTAATGTTAAACCAGCAAAAAAAGGTAACGGTCCTTCACTGTTGTTTTCTCTCTTAGCAGACAACTCCTCCTGCGCCTTTTCTTCATAGGCAAGAGCTATATAAAAAGGAGTTGATACTCACTTTCTTACTGCCCCACCTCCCATTCCTCTTCAGCCACCACAGCCTGACTCCTGCCCCAACTTGCTTGAAACCCTCCAAACTAAAGGTCTCTGAGATCTATCTAACTGCAAATGCAAAGGGTACTTTTCAACATATATGCACGCAGACCTCTGCAACACCTGGCTCTACTGACCAAGTTCTAGAATCCACCCCCTGCCCCGAACCCCTTGCACACCCTGCATCCACCATGTCGTCCCTCTCTCACACGTCTCAGTAGCACTGGCTGGAACTCTCCCTCCCTCAGCCATCCCTTCCATGACTGTTCCCAAAGGTTCCTTCCTTCGCTCTCTCTTGGAAATAGCATTTGTGGTTTATGACTTCAAAAACTACATATATGCTAAAGATTTCCAGTCTACCCAGCTCACGGCTCTCTTTATTTATTACTGCTTTCAATAATTCTTTACCTATTTTATTAGAGCTTTCAAACTTCACATTCCAAATGTTCATGTAGTAGATACCTAAGAAACTGTCATATAAGTTCAAGGATAACTCTAAAAGAGGGACAATATTTCTGAAGAAAGCTCAGCTTGCCATGGACAGGACATAGGCTATAAAATAGTAATGTGGAAAATAAATGCTTTAAGATACTTAGAAGTTATAGTCAAGTTCTTCTCCACTCCTCAGTCTTCATATTACGGCACTCCTTTCTTATATCAACGAACTGCTAAGTCCATGGGTATTATGAACATACTCATACATAGCTAAAATTTTAAGTGCAAAATCAAAAATGATAAAGATCCGCTGTAAACTTTAAAGCTTAATAAACCTGTAGGGTAGATGAAAAGCACTTGCTCATGGTACTAAAAAATAGCTTTAAAAGAGTTGCCTTAATAACTAATAAAGGAATAACCTACATGTTTAAAAAGAAACACCTGGTTAAGTTAATTCCAGAATAGGCAAGAAAGGAACAGTACTTAGCAATTAAGTGTGATATTATAAAAACTACTAATGGAAAGAAAATTTTTTCATGATTTATTAAGTTCTAAAAAACAGGTTACAAATAGTATATTTAATATAATTCAAATTAAGCAAAAAAATTAATATCTCTATATTTGTAAGGGGAAAAAAGAATATACACCTAAAAAAGTTATGATAGTTATGGTGATAGTAATACATATTTTATTCTGTGATTTTTTCTATATTTCCTGAATTTACTATAATGAAAATTTTTAAATGAGTGTTTAAGCTAAGATTATAAGAAGAACATAAATAAAAAATAATAATCATGGTACGATATTGCCCAAAAACTCTGCAGTTATATCCATCTCAAGAAACACATTCCAAGGAAAAAGACACACCAAAATGAGATACACCAAAATTCTAACAGTCTGTGTCAAAGTGGTCATAATTAGTTTCTTTCTCCTTTCCTCCATTTTCCCTGATGCTTGGCAATGTAGTTATATTATTTTATTTAAAAATTAATGGTTAAAATATTTTAAGATAAAAACAAAAGGAACTGTGCCCGAAAAGTTGAATTTAGTTTTCATTCTGCTTTCCTGCAACAGGACACCTATTCACTGAGACCCTTAGCCTTTGCTGACATGTAAATTGGGCAGTCTACCTGCCTGGGCCTCTCCCCTTCCCTCCAATCTGCAACACAGAGCCCTAGCCTAACATCACCATTACAGTATGCCCAGGACTTAAACTTCCCCCAGGAAGACCCCTACACGCTTTCTGACCTGCTCACACTGGATGGTCTGTGCTGCCCAGGGGCCTGCTTTGTATCAAGTGAGGCCAGGTGCTGGCTGCTTGTTGCCATATCTGCTCGAAAAGGCCTGTTGATAAAAAAAAAAAAGGCAGAGTGAGGTTTTCATTTCTTTGCCTTACAGGAAAAGTCCACATAAATTTAAATACACAACACAAGCCCTCAATTATCTGGTACATCTCACCTCCATTTCTTAGCAATTTGGAAAACCAAGTAACAAAAATCTACTTGGTTACATGGTGAACATTCCCGAAATACAGTACCAATAAACTTATGAACAAAAAAAGAAATTAACTGAAACCAACCCCCACAGCTCTCCACTGAAAGACAGCATTTCTTGTACATATCCTTCCAGATCATCCCCAAGTAAATCTATACATGTGTTTTTATATTTTATTAAAATGAAATATTATAGAAAACAGTTTTCCTTGACCCTCTTGGGGTCCCTGGTTGGGTCTGAAAAGTAAAGTGACAAACACAAATTAACAAGAGAAAAGCATATAAATTTTGTTGAATTTTAATATGTACATGGGAGCCTTCACAAGAGAGCGAAGACCCAAAGAAGTGAACAGAGCAGGAGACTTTTATAGCTTTTAGATAAAGGTATAAATAAATTGGTGAATAACTGGCAAGACAAGGAGTTGGGCGAGGGGTAGTAAATGGTGAAGTAGACAGGAAGACAAGGATGACTTTGATAAGGTTTGTTTGCATATTCTGGGGGCTGATCAGTGTGTACTTCCAGTAAGAGAATTTATGTCCTGCCTTTACGCAGAAAAGGGAGAGCTTTTTCTGTCTTTTAGTACTTCTCAATTGCCTTCAGCTCAAAATAATTTTATGTCAAAGAGGCATATTTTGGGAAGGCATATTTTGGGATGACATATTCTGGTTTCCTTCATTATAACCTGAATTTATCCTGAATCATTTCTTGTCAGTAAATAGAGTTGCTTTATTGTAGTTATTGTCTGCACAACATTCTACTGATTGGAAGTAACATGATTTGTTACCAGATCCTCATTTGGGGGCAGGGAGGTTGCTCCCAGTGTTCTGTGACTACAAATAATACTGTAATAAACCCCTTTACGCACTTTTGCCTGATTGTTTCCTCAGAATAAATTCTTAAATTAAAGGGCATGTATTTTGTGGTTTTGTTTGTTTTAAGATTTCATTTACTTATTTATTTTTAGAGAGAGGGGAATGGTGAGAGAGAAACATGGATGTGTGAGAGAAGCATTGATTCGTTGCCTGTCACACACCCCAGCGAAGAACCTGGCCCACAACCCAGGCACGTGCCCTGACTGGGAATCAAACCTCTAACCAGGACCTTTCATTTTGTGGGGACGCCCAACCCCCTGAGCCACATCGGTCAGGGCAAAAGGCATGTATTTTTTAAAGGTATGTTATTTGTAATAAACTGCTTTACTTCCATTATATACAGAGTAGGGCAACAGGTTTACAGTTGTTCATATGGAAAAAGACATGCAGGTTTTCATTTTTACAACGGCTTTACTAACTCTGTCTCTCCCACTCCCAACTGTAAACCTACTTTTGCCCCGCCTGTACGTACCAGAGTGCTGAAGTGACATAGAGGAGCTGGACACCAATGTGGTTCACAGAATTTTAAAGCCACTTTATTGACCCAGAGCCACTCGAGAGCAGGAAGCTTCCACAGAGTTTAAGAATGAGCCCACCCTGTGATATAACAGACTCTCCAATGTCCTTCTGCTTCCATTCACCTTAAGAGTATACATCCCATAAAGAAGAAAGCACTATTGACTATCCCTTTAGGGAAGCTTTGTTTTTTTTAATTCTAAGATATACAATGTCCTCAATTAAGTGGAATTTGATTATATTCCACCTTTCAAACTTCCCAGTACCCTCTAATATTTTACATTACATTCATTTTATCTTGAACAGACCAAGTTTCCTAAATTTTATATATCAGGTTAGAGGAAAATCACGGCAGCTGTTACAAGAGTGATTGTGGGTGCTGGGTGCTGGGTGCTGGGTGCTGGGAGGGACAGAAACCCAACGGATAAGGGGAGATGCAGCTTAAAGTCAGGTTTCGCTCTGTCCAAGAGCTCTCGACCCAGCAGAGGCGGGACCAAGCAGGAAGTAAAGGAGACTGTGGGGCGGTGAGAGCCATCTCTGTTCACAAACGGGGAAAGCCGTAAAGACAGATTCAAGAAGCTGTCTACACTTTTGGACCATTCTTGCTCATCCATTCTCCTCCAGATTCACTTCTGAGGACTAGAAAAACATGGTCTCTGAAATGTGCTGTAAAAATGTTCCCATTTCTCATTTGCCTTTAGCTTTAATTATAAAATTCTTTCTAGTGTTAAAACTTTGAGGTGTTTTTATTTTAAATCAAAATTAATCACTCCTTTAACATTTCTGGTTTTTGAGGGCATATTTAGAAAAACTTCCCTCCACAAAAATTATTTAACTTATCAATTTTTCAGTGTTGTTATGTTTTAATATTTAATTTGCTGATCCACTTGTAATTTGAGTATACAGTACACGATAGGGCTGTGCATTTGCTTCTCAATCTTTGGCCTTTTTCCCGAGATGATTTTTAAAAGACTACATCTTCTCCTCTAATGATTAGATATACCATGTACATAAAATATTAAAACTTTAGTAAGTTCTGCTAAAATCCAGCATGTTGGGCCAAGTAAATGCTGCAGGTTTCAAAGCTACGATTATGGTGTCTTTACCTGGCACAACAGACTTGAATTTAATAGAACTTAATAACTACTAATAAAATATTAGATTTCATTCATTTTTTCTGAGTTATAAATGTATAGATTATATGCCATTAGTTCTCCACGCTTTTATATACATGTACTCAGTCCCAGAAAGTCTATAGTATTTTAAAATTTATATTAATATCACAATAAGTATACATGCTGCAAACTGATTTTTTATTCAACTGTACTTTGATATAGACCTAATTCACTCATTTAAACTACTATCTAGTATTTCATGAAGAAGCAGTTTTTTTCATTTTTATGAAAAATGTTTCAAATACATGAAGAAAATAATATAACACACAAATGTGCCCAGAACTCACTCTTGTGCACAGTGTGAGCTGCACATGTGCTTGTTTCCCACACGGACGGGCAATGGCCCCCGCAGCCCCCGCAGCTCCCGCTGCTCCTCTGCTTGGGAACCAGACAAAAGGAAACCAAGGTCCTCTCCGTGCCGACCGTGCCGACCGGGAGCTGTCTCACGGCCCGCCCCAGGACACGCCTTCGTTCAGTTTGCTACGTACTACTGATGGAGGCCTACACTCCGTAAAATTATAGGTTAACTTGTAGACTTTTCTGTCTCATAAATGCACAAATAATTTCTCTGACAAGGTTATGGTTTTATTGCCTTGTATGAGATTAACAAGTTTTGTTTACAACAAATCTTATTCCAACATTCTTCCACAAACATTCCTGGAACCAGTTTTACCATCTTGCTGACTTTCTCGATAAATAAATCTTTGGCATTTGTTCATTCTGTAATTTTTTTATTGATTGATTCAAGAGAGAGAGAGAAAAAAACATCAGTTTGTTGTTGCACTTATTTATGCATTCATTGGTTTATTCTCGTATGTGCCCTGACCAGGGATTGAACTCACAACCTTGGCGCACTGGGACAATGCTCTAACCAAATGAACTACCTGCGCAGGGCCCGTGCTGTGAGTTTTGTGTGCTGACATCTGAAGAACACTGCAGAGTCAGTCGGTGTGTCAGCACTACAACGCAGGGCAAGTTTCCAGCTGTGCGCACGTCTGTTTCCGGGCACTTTTGTTCCGCTCACATGCTGGCCTCTCTCGGCCTCCTGCACACAGTTTTCATTATCACGGCCCTTACATGCCAGCAGAGCAAGTCCTCTACTTTATAAAATGTTCTTTGGGGGGGGGGGGGGCTGCTATTATTTTACTTTCATTCATAGTTACGAATTTTTTTTTAATTTTATTTATTTATCTTTAGCAAGGAAGGGAAGGAGAGAGGGAGAGAAATATCAATGTGTGGTTGCCTCTCATGTGTCCCCTGCTGGGAACCGGCCTGCAACCCAGGCATGTACCCTGACTGGGAATCGAACTGCAATCCTCTGGTTCGCAAGCCCGTGCTCAATCCACTGAGCTACACCAGCCAGGGCTTAGTTATGAATTTTAGATTAAGTTGTTATAAAATTACAAGTCCTGCCATAGTTTTTACAGGGATTTCATTACATTTTTAGCAAACTTTGCAGAGAACTGCTATCTTTACATTACATTTTCATATCCATGCACATTTATTCAGGTCTTCTCTTATTTCCTTCAATAAAAGTTTTTAATATATACATCACTGCACTGGGATTCATGTAAATCTTTGCAAAAAAGCATGCTAAACATTCCTTATATTGCTTCGGTTTTAGAATCTGTAGTGCCAAAATGGTGCAGTTATTAAAAATTCAAATACAATGACTTGTCTGTTCCGCTCCTAACCAAGTTGCTGTACTGAGAGACCTGAGAAGTGATGTGTTTTTAGCTAGTGAAAATACTCTTCGGTTGATACATGTTAAAGAAAACATGTCATATTCAATTACGGTATTAGTGAGCTGGAAAACATGTCTCTATTTTCCCCTGTTTTTACTGCTCTATTTTTTTAAGTTTCTAAAAACGTTTATTGAGATATAATTCACAGACCATACAATTTGCCCATTTAAAGTATACAATGAATGCTTTTTCACGTGCTCATATTCATAGCACTGTACAACTATCACCACAGTCTAACTTTTTAAATATTTTGTCACCCAAAGGAAACCCTGTATTCACCCATTTGCAGTCACTCCCCATAGTCCAAAGTAACCATGAACCTACTTTTTGTATCTATAGATTTGCCTATAACTAGCTTTTTCACTTAGCATAATGTTTTCAAGATTCATTCATGTTGTTGCATGTATCAGTACTTCATGTATTTTATTGCCAAATAATATTCTATTATATGGCTATAACACATTTTGTTTATCTTTTCATTAGATGATGGATATATGTTAGTTCCACTTTTTGGCTATTATGAATAATGCTGCTGTTACCAT